GCAGGGCAGCCCCCGCGGGAATCAACCCCCCGGGCCGCGCAGGGCCTTCCGGGTTCGCCCGCGGTTGGGTAACGAGGCGTTTTTAACCCAGGGAAGAATTATTTGTAAAGGCTTACTCTTGGGATCCCCGAGCCAATCCGTATTCTGAAACTCTGGAGCTCGATTTTAATAAACTTGGTACAAGTACGGTCTGAGCTGTAATGACCAGTGATTCTAATGGTGCCTTTCATGAAAGCCTTTTGTGAAAAGCAAACAAAAATCCCCACGCTCAAAAACAAGAACCAGACCCCCAACTTAACAGCAAATCTTCAGACACAGTGAGGAGCACACCGAGTTTTCTAATGCCTCGTGTTTTACTACTGGGGACTTCTTGATTTGGGTTAATTCTTGTGGAATGCTGACTGAGCTGGCTGGTGTTTAAACACTTCAGCCCTGCTCAAACCTGTAGCACAGCCTTACTTTTTCTCAGTGCTGTCCCCTTGCTGAATTACTCAGGTGACGGGTTATCTGTGCCGTGCACCTGTACGAGATGTCTGTGAGTCATCCTAGGCTGACCAGTGCAGTACAGTAGTCCTAGAGTACCTGGGCTCGGTGCGTGACTCTTCCGCTCCCATATGGGTACAGTAGTCCTTCTAGAGTACCTGGGCTCAGTGCGTGACTCTTCCGCTCCCATATGTGGACACCACACAGATGCTCAGGTCCTCTAGAATGAGCTTGGGTCCTGCTGATCCAATGGAGTCAAGCTCTGTGGGAGTCTCGGTGCTCTAGGGAGGTTCCATGAGTTTGAATGGTGTAGCCCCTTCTAGCTAGTGTTGGCTAATGGAGACTTGACTGTGAGTTAATGAAGCATCACAGTAGTTAAACAACAGTAGCTAGAGGTGGTGATCTAAGCTAGTTTTGATTTGACTTTTTAGGTAAGATGCAAGTTGAGGTGTTGTATCTTTATCTAGGTAATCACATACCTTAATGCTCTTTACTGTGTTAGCGACAATGGAGTGATGACCATCTTTGTGTTGGATTAGATGACTGTTGTAACAAGTATGTGATTTATAGCCAAGAAAAGAGCAAAATCATTGTGACGGTGAGAGATCTCTAATAAGAGGCTGCTAAAGTTTTTGACTTAGTTGCCCAAAAAAAAAAAAAATTAACCTGAGATTTCTAGCAGGTTTACACTTGACTAGAGATTGGAATTTAAGAAGATAAAGTAGTATTATTTTGTTGTCCAGAACTACTCTTAATGAGTTTTAGTAATCTCTTTTTTTCTGTAGTCAATTTAATTTTAATTTACAGCAAATAATAAGAACAGTGTCCATTCTAATGAATTGACTGTTCTTTCTAGGGATCAAATTTCTCAAAGCTGTTAAAACACCTAGACGTGCTGATGGAGGGGAGACATGCATATAGCTTCCCATCTCCAAAGGCTGGGTAAACTTTGGTGCCAACATCCTCTTAAACCCAGCTAGGTCTCTCTCAAAAGGCTTGGATAAGATTCCAGGGAATGGAACTGTCTGTGTAATATGCAGCTGAGCAGATATCCAGCTATGACTTCTTGGAGGGCTTGTGAGCCTTTTAGAAGCACAACAAAATTGATGAGAATAAAATTTGGTGTGGCCAAGCTGAACTTACTCTTCTAGGCACTGTGCCTGTCCTAGCAGCTGTTTTTACCATCCAGTGTTCTTGTTCTTTACAGTTTGAGACTTGGCAGATCACATGCTCTTATTAAATTTTTAAGAATGAAGCAGTTGTTACTGTTTTCTCAACTAAAATTGGATTATCAGCTTCTGTTGAGTTTACTAAAATGAAGAATTCTTTATTGGTGCTACTAGACTGCTGAAATAAAAGTTGGTTAAACTAACCTTGAAAAATATTTACTGCCCAAATATCCGAAAACCTGAAAGTCTATAAAAATGCAGTGTTGCTAAATAATCATATAGCTTACTAGATAAAAAGGTATCAAAACTAAAGCTGATGGAATTTCCAAAGCAGATAATAGGAAAGGACAGAATTCCATAAGCCTTTCATAATTTCCCTACTATAAGCAGTTCTGTGAGCTAGTGAAGTCCATCTTCCTAGGAATACGTCTGGAGACCTGGCTTCTGTGTAGATTACCTGGTGCCTGAAGAGGGTTATATTGCAGCCGTTTCTTTTGTGGGTAGGGTTTTTCTCTAGCTGCCTGTTTAATTAAATCTTTAGAAATGTCTGATTTATCTAGTTTTCTGTTGGATTTTGCTGGATGTTTTTGCCTGCATGTGGAAGGAACATTTGTGCATCTTCCTTGCTGCAGCTCCATCCCAGCTTCGTATTTAATTTGACTGCATCTGCCTAGTTTCCTTAGGAACACAAACTAAAATGGTGGTGTTTTGATGTAAGGAAAAACCCTTTCACTAAGCACAGCTTGCCACTGGAAGAGGATGCCCAGAGAGGCTGTCAAACCTCTGCCCAGGGGGTGTTCAAGACCTGAGGGGCCTAGATGCAGAGTGCCCTGGTCTTGTTCATTGTTGAGCCTGCTTTGACTAGGCATCTGGTCTGAGGGACCTCTTGAGGGCCCTTCAAAGGTGAATGTGGTTTTCTAAGAAGTAGACTAAAAGGAAGGCAAGTAGGAACTTTTGTGGTGACTTCTGCTTTGAAGAGGTGAAATGTTAGTATTTTCAGGGTTTGTTTTTAGTGCAGAGAAATTACAGTCAAGCATGGGTACTTGGCAAACTAGTAGTGGTTGTCTTTGACTAGTAACATATGTCCAGCCTGTCACTTTGCTTAGGCTAGTATTAAGATACACCACTGGAAGTGTTGCATTTGTGGTCTTTGTTGAAAAACTGAATGCAGTTGGACGTTATAATATATGATTACTAATGTAGTAAGGAAGGGAACCTTTAGTGTTGTGTAAAAGTCTGGTTTGCAGTATCATCCAAACGAACAGCAAATGCAGGAATAGATTGATGGATAAAATGCCTGAGCAAGGGCTGAATGACCTATCTAGAACTGAACTTGGGACATAACTGCTACAATGATTCTTTTATTTTGCCATTAACTTGTCTTGGTTCTGTTTATGAAAAGGTCCTGTCTATGAAAACTCAATGGATTGTAATTTTTTTTGAAATGACAGTTAAAAGTAGTTAAATTTGTCTTCTAGGTGGCCAGTGCGGTGAAAGGATCAAGACTCTTGGGCTAGAGTAACTTCAGTGTAATTCTACTGTAGTGCTTCCATGTTGAATTTCTTGGTTAAGAATGAGATGTGTACTAAGGGAAGATTGACTAGTTAGTGCAAGCTGAGGCTTGAGGAATGTCCAAAATACAAAAGAAAGAAGTAGTAAGAGAGTATGTAGAATAAACTGTATAGTAATCAGGGAATTAAACGGAGGACTTGAGGGAATGAGCTTAGAAGGTTGAAATTCGGTGACCTTTTAGTGACCGTGACATATTGCTGGTCTAATGGATTGTTGTGATTTAACCCCAGCTGGCAAATGAGCACCACACAGCTACTCGCTCACTCACTTTCCCCTCCTTCCCGCCCCCTTGGTGGGATGGGGAAGAGAATTGGAAAAGTAAAGGCAAGAAAACTTGTGGCTTGAGATAAAGACACCTTAATAGGTAAAGCAAAAGCTACACATGCAAACAGAGCAGAACATGGAATTCATTCACCCCTTCCCACTGGCAGGCAGGTGTTCAGTCATCTCCAGGAAAGCAGGGCTTCATCATGCATAGTGGTTACTTGGGAACTCCAAACATCCTTGCCTTCCTCCTTCCCCCAGCTTTATACACTAAACATGATGTCATATGGTAAGGAATATCCCTTTGGTCAGTTGGGGTCAGCTGTCCTGGCTGTGTCTCTCCCAGCTTCATGTGCTACCCCCAGCTTACTCACTGGTGGGGTGTGTGAGAGGCAGAAATGGTCTTGACTGTGTGTAAGCACTGCTCAGCAGTACCGAAAACATCCCTGTGTTATCAACATTGTTTTCAGCACAAATCCAAAACACTAGCTATGGTGAAGAAAATTAACTCTATCCTACCCAAACCAGCACATGGATACAGACAGTGTTAAGTGAGTAATTATTCCCAAGCAGTTTGTTTAAAGACCAGCTGAATAACCTTGCACGTGATACAGAAATATACGTATTTTTGGGTTGAAAGACTAACTACTGGCAAACTGGAAAATCAGTAATTTATGTTCAAGTTTCTTTAAGGTTTTTGTTTGTTTGTTCTTTGTATTAATGACTTTATCTCAGAAAGGTTACTGGTTAAGAAAACTCGTGAGATACGTGGATGTTATGTACTGTACCACCTTTGTAGACTAATGCTTCTTTTTTGTGAGTTAGACGTGCCTCAAGAAATGTCTGCTTCACCGTCTTCAGTAGCATCAGTGTATCCATTAAAGGACTGAGATGGAGGAACTGTTTCCAGTGGACCATAACATACTGAACCACATCTCCTGGCTGATCTAAGCATGGTGCCTTCCTGTCAGCTCTGTTGTTTCCTGGAGTGGACCATGGGGTTGGTGCACATAACCTGCTATTATAGAGGGACTGATGATTAAGCTTTAACCAGAAACTATACAACTTCCTGTTTGACTTCACTTTAAAAAGAGGATTTTATGTCTTAATTTTACTCCTTGGACTTTGATAGAATGCCAGACTAGTTACTCTCATTTATTCCATTCTGTATAGGTTCCTGTTCCACACCCTCCCCAGTGGTATCAGAATGTCTTCCAGACTTCTTAACAATAAAAAATATTAGAAAACAAGATTAGCGTCTGTCAAATGGGGCTCCCTCTCCATTTCTCTCTGCACACCTTTCCTTTGGGGGGAGAAGAAGAGGAGAATAGCATGTGAGTTTTTTTTAATTTTAATTAAAAAAACCCTCGAATGCATGTTTTGTCGATAAATGAAGGGTATTTTTTCTTCTTGAACGATGACCTACAGAGTAGAAAAAGATTCTGGGGTTGATTTTTTAAATTTTTGTTTTATTTTTGCTTTTGGTGAGCCTTAGCTTGTAGCTTCTGTCTTATGTGGGAGGCTTTCTTGCACCTGTTTACAGGAAAGTCTTGCCTTTTAAGGCAAAGATTTCATGTTGACGTCTTGCCTTTTTTTTTTTTTTTTGAGAAGTACAGCTTTTCAAGACATTCAGGACCACCAAGGCTGAAATACTGCCTGGGGATTTTTTTTTTTTTCTCCTGTTCTTCATGTTAGAACTTGTCCTGGATGGATGTAGCAGTAAGGACGGAGATATTTTAAACTCTATTGGGTCCTCTGCCAGCTGTTTAAGAACAAAGAAATACCTGTGGAGCTCCCAGTGACCTTTTTCAGGGCAGGACAGTTCTGTTGCATTCTATGCCCATTTAAGTTTCTTAAATCTCAGCCTAAATTGCATTTTATTGTAATCTGGGGAGGAGGTGATAAAGGCACATACTTCCAAAGCTAAACCTGTGGGGATACCTTTGTACTGGGAGGTGAAGATAAACTAAGCCCATGGGGATACCTCACGATGTTCTGGGAGCTGAAGATAAGCAACTCATGCGTCCGTAGGCCAGCTGCATGGGGAGTGATAGCCTAGCTGTTGGGGAAGCTCTAGACCCTTCCTGGTGGTATGTTCTAGACAGATGGGCAACCGTGCTGCACAACGGCCCTTCAGATAGGTGACCTGCATCAGATCATCTGTCTTTCTGTAACTTGCTTCAGTCATCGTCCTTCTCTGTATGTCGAACTCCAGCTATCACAGCTTGCTGGATGAATGAGGGTAAGGTATAAATCTAAATTCTGGAGTAGGGGAAGGTGATTAAGAGCTATACACACTTCTTCAGAGGAGGGCACCTAAAAGCATATGGGTATTAACAAAAGTTGTCCCACTTCAGCATATTTAGCTATGAGTGCCATGCATTATTAATGGAGTAGAAATAAAATTAATTATTGTAGTAGCTTGTTTTATGTCCAGATCCATATTGACTTAGAAGCAAAAACTTCTGTTAGAAACTTAGATTTTGCTAGCAATCGTATTTGAAGCATATTGGATACATGACAACAAACCAAATTATCAAAGAGACTTACCATCTTGACGTAACATTCACGGTGAAAGATGTTGAATTCCTCCTTCCTAAATGAGATGAGAGTAATTTTCTGAATAGAACTTAGTAAACTTCTGGTGTTCTGGTTCCATTACAAAAACCCCCACAAAACGCAGTGTAATTACCATGTAGGCACAGGGATCTGAAAGAAAAACTTAGAGTTTTGTTTGGATAAGAGAGAACAAATGTAAAGGACTTCCTTCCCCCCCTGCCCCCCGATTCTCTTTCCTTTGAGAGGAAGCAAATGATCTACTGGGAAATATTAATGAGACTAGTTCTTTGGCTTAAGGCTTTTGGGTTTTCAGGAACACAACTTTCAGGCTTCATTTTTTTGTTTTAATACTGTTAAATGCAAGTGTCTGTGTTCCAGTATTCCATCACTTTTTTTTTTGTCTGTCTTTTTCAGGAAAAGTGCAAAATGTTTCAAATTCCTGTTCAAAATCTTGATAATATCAGGAAGGCTCGAAAAAAGGTGAAGAGCATTCTTGTGGATCTTGGACTCGACAACTGCAGGGAATTGTTGAAGGTAAAGCATTCGAAGTAATGTAAACCAATCTGAAATGTCAACCCTCAAAATATTTTACTTGTAGTGTATGGATGATACTCCTCTGCCATAGGTCTTTATGGTGAGGTCTTTACTTGAAGAATTACTCATGACTGGCTACTATGCTAGGGGTGGAATTTTGTGTTTTAGTACATAACATTAAAAAAAAAATCTCAAGATGTCTTACAGTTAGTGCTGAATATTTACTGCTAGTAATAGTTCAAGAAAAGGAAACATTACAGCTTTGTGATCGACACTACAGACTAATGAAATATTATTTGTGTACTACACAACAGCCTTTTTTTTTTCCATTCTTTTAGAATCACAAGCCTATGAAGATTTGAGTCTACTCAAAGGCATTAAATTCTCTCCTATCACATAGAATCACAGAACGGTTTGGGTTGGAAGGCACCTTAAAGGCCATCCAACCCCCTGCCATGGTCCACTAGACCAGGTTGCTACAAGTCTCATCCAGCCTGGCCTTGAACACTCCCAGGGATGGGGCATCCACAGCTTCTCTGGGCAACCTGTCCCAGTGCCTCCCCACCCTCTCCGGGAAGAATTTTACTGATGTTCCTACTACATCTACCCTCTTTAAAGCCATTACCCCTTGTCCTATCACTGCCTGCCGTTGTAAAAAGTCCCCCCCAGCTTCCTTGTAGCCCCTTCAGGTACAGGAAGGTGCTATAAGGTCTCCCCAGAGCCTTCTCTTCTCCAGGCTGAACAAGCCCAACTCTCTCAGCCTGTCCCCATAGCAGAGGGGCTCCAGCCCTCTGAGCATCTTCGTGGCCTCCTCTGGACTCACTCCAACTGATCTATATCCTTCTGATGTTGAGGGCTCCACAGCTGGATGCAGCACTCCAGGTGGGGTCTCAGCAGAGCAGAGGGGAAGAATCCTCTCCCTCACCCTGCTGGCCACACTTCTGATACAGCCCAGGATACGGCTGGCCTATCAAGGGCAAGCCTCTGAAGGATTTACAAATTGTTGATATTTCTGAAAGTGGAGAAGCAGTTTGGTGCAGCAGTCTTGTTGCAGGCCTGTAAACTGCATCCAGGGCAAAATACCAAACTTGTCTTCCTGAGTTGCAGTTCACGTCCTGCATCTGAAAAAGGATTTTTAAGTGTATTGGGGCGATGAAGATGAACTTAGTACCATTGCTGCTGTTTTCAGGTGAAAGTGTTGTGCAACAAGAAGGAGCAATTCACACCATCATATTGGTAAGCCAGAAGATATCTGAATTTCTAATACCAGAAAAAGTGTACACACAGTAATGCAACTCTGGTGATAGGACAAGAGGAAATGGCCTCAAGTTGAGTCTGAAGAGGTTTAGATTGGATGTTAGGAAAATCTCCTTCCCTGAAGGAGTGGTCAGGCACTGGAACAGGCTGCCCAGGGAAGTGGTGGAGTCCCCATCCCTGGATGTGTTCAAGGAACATGTAGACGTGGCACTTGAGGACATGGTCTAGTGGGTAGGGTAGTGTTGGGGTGGTGGTTGGACTGGATGGTCTGACAGGTCTTTTCCAACCTTTAGTGGTTCTGTGATTCAGTGACTAAATGGTAGTGTATTTCAGCCAGTTGGTACAAAGGTGTTTTAGCGGTTCATTCATGACTTCACAGTGATTGTAGCAAAGACTTTTACTTCAGTACCATCATACAGAATTAGTGAAGTTAACTCTCTGTAGGGGTGCTATTGTATCTTTTGTGGAGGTGGTTTTGTGGTTGTTGCTTGTGGGTTTTTTTAATTGAAACTATAAGTAAACCATTGGAAAAACATTGCTTAAGATCTACATGAATGACTAATTCTGGAAAATTCTTGGGTTTTGCAGTTGAACAATGTTTGATAAATAAATGTCATGAGAGCTCAGGGAAAAGTATTGGTCTAGTAATTTTAATTTTCTTACTGTTTTATTGTGTTGTATATTGTTTCGTAATTGAACCTTTAAGTCAGAAGCTGTTCTGTCTTGACCCTTTGAAGTAGAAATATTTTGCTGATGCTGTGTTTTTGCTATGAAATTGATTGCAGACTTTTTGATTACAGTATGGGGTTTAATGCTGAACGAGGAATAAGGTGTGTTGTTTGGTTTTTGGAGGGGTGGGCAGGGGGGTGTGGTGTGGTGTTTTTTCATTTTTAATAAATGATGGTTGTGGGGAACCCTTCCATTATGGAAAAAGCTCTGTATGATGTGGGTCAAAAAATTAACCATCTTAGTTTTTTGCAAATACCTCTGTTTCAATCAAGTTTGTAACTTCAGCGTGCTTTTTTCCAAGAAGTCTGGGGTGTTTTTGGTATAACTTTAGCAGCAGGAAGAATAGTTTTTAGAACTTGATTTGTAATTAGCTCATATGATGGTATTTCTTTTTGTTAGAATAGGGTCTATAGTGTCTTAATAGGTGAGAAGTAGCTTAAGGTTGGGTTGGTGGGGTTTTTTCCCCCCCGAAATATTAAGAATGATTTCTGGACGTTGTCTTTCTGAGGAGGCTGGATAATTTAGGAAACTATGAAATGACGTGATACAGACTTGACCTGTCATCTGGTCTTAAAGTTGGTCTTGAACTGTTCAAGTAAGACATGATAATGGACAGTAGTTTGTGAGGAAGGTGAAGGAATTTCATGTACAACTAGTATTTCTTTGTGCCTTGGAGACCAAATGGATTAGGTTTTGGGCTAAAAATTCTTAATTGATCTCTGCTAAGAAGAAAACATGAGCCTTTTGTACTAGATTTCTGATTATCAGAGCCATACTTTTAAGTACACTGTAATTGCAGAGGTTTTGATAAAACTCTCAGCTTCTTCAATGGATTGTGAGCTTTAAGTCTTCATTTAAACTCTGAGCGTTTTATCTTTTTGTCTGGAAAACAGTGATGGTTTTAACACAGAGGGAAGAAGAGTTTGTAGTTCTAAAGTGTCTTAAATTTAGAAATACCCACCATGCATTAGGATTAATCAGGCTTCTCAGAGGGTTTTTATTCCCTTTTTGTTGCCTTCCCTTTCTGTATTCCTCCCCTCCTCGAAGTGATAAATGTGGGAAGGGCATAACAAGTTAGCAGATCAGAGCTTGCTTCTGGGATGTCAGAGTGGATCTCTGTTTAAAGCAAGAGTTCAGAATAGCTGATTGTAGCACAGACTAATTGTAATGATAAGAAAGGTTATCTTTCTTTATCAGTGAATATTTCCTCTCAGGTTTTTCAGCGAAACGGTGTAGACTTACTAAGATACATTTGCTTTGTAGGAATCTGGTGTTCAAGTCTAGGAGCCTTTCTTGGCGGAGAGTACTCAAACCAAAAGCAGAACGTGTTTGGGGTAGGACATAGAATTCAAGAAAACTTTTTTAACAGCGTGTAATTCACTCCAGTATGTTTGGATGAAGAAGTGTTAGTAAATCTTGAGTTGTCTTGCTTTCTCTATCAAATGTATATAAGAAAAGCATCATGTTTTCTAAGGCTGTGGGATTTCTTTTCTTTTTTAAGAAGGTTTGGCTGAAGGAGAAATAAATGACTCATTGAGTGCCCAGATACTGATCAGAATGGAAGTGATTTGGTTATTGTTGCCCTGAGCTCTTAAAGATTCTCCTTGGGGAAACTTGAAGATTGCAAATAGCTTTCTATCTTTTTCAAACTTAGCTACATTTTTCTAAATTCTTGAATAATTTAATTTAAATCAAATTCTCACTGATATGCCCTACTGTGTTGCTCACATTTACAGAGTGTGGACTGGAGAACAGAGCCTGCATTAAGTAGGATTATGTATTTATATGACTGCTAGGAGCTTTGTTTGTTGTTCAGTATATTCCCCTGTTGCTTGTAAAATTCACATAGATGTTGCAGCGTTTTTTTGACCATAAATTATTAGATTTATGAAGTCACTTCTCTTGAAGGTGGTCTTTATTATTCTTAAATGGTCTGTATTAAGTGCTTCTGTTGTTCCCGTGGGGTTTGGTGCAGAGGTGAAAACATCTTACCCTCTCTAAGCATCTTGCAGAATTTTTAGTGAAGAGGGGTTTGTGAAGGGGAATGAGAATGGAGAAAGTGCTAGTTTCCTGTGGGCTAAGCCTAGATTCATAGCCTGTGTTTCATCTAAAGTGCTCCTGTATGCTGTTGAAGCTAGTTAGGGTCTTCAGAAATGCCTAGCAAACAGGCATCTAGCTGTCTTTTTTTCATTAAGTTTGTATTTGAATATGTGTGAGCCTCAAAGTTGGAGAGGAACTTTAAGATTTTTAGAGTAGCAGCTGGCTTTGGCTTGAGGAACACAAACTGCTCTGCTGGGATACAGTGGAAGAATGCTATGAGGAAAATTGTTTACCCTGACATGGTTGTTCCAAACATGATGATAGTGTTGCTTTTGCAACCTGAGGAACAATATTGCTTCTCTTTGAAATAAGCTTCTAGGAATGTATTTGTTTTTCCAAGTTAGGAGCATAGTAAAGCTATGAAGATCTAATACTAAAATCTATTGCAAAGTAAACCATAGTGGTGAGTTTAATAAATGGATGTAAATAGTGAAATATTTCTGATTTAGGAGGAGGAAGGTAGAGGGAGAAAATATCTTTTGGTGTTCACCGTGAACTTGGCTAAAAGCAATGGAATTAAAGGGAATATTTTCACTTCTATATTACTTTGAGTAACTATGAAGTGTTCAGAATTCCTACTATATAACAAGTCAGTCATATGAACAGGTACTTCAGATAAAATAAAGCAAAGAGTGGTCAAAGAAGTAGTTTCATTGAGCTGAGTTTTGAGACCTGTCTCGGAATGCTGTATGGACTTCACATTCATCCTCTGCTTGTGTGGTTCTTCCTTTTTTTCTTTGGTCTGTATTGAGTCTATGTTTTACGGACAGACTGCAAAAGCAGATTCCTTCCTGTTTTCTTTTTTCTTATAGAATCTTAAAAGTTTTGACCCAGGTGAAAAACACTTTTGTAATACTTCGTGGAGTGATGTCTCTCCTTGGGAGTCTGTGGGCAAAAGGAAGGTATGTATGTTTGTGTTAGAAATTCTGGGCAGGCATGCATGTGGAGTCGCTGAATTTTACCTCTTTCAGAAGTCCTGGAAAAACTTAAATACACCTATTTCATGGTATAAAAAAAGCTTTAACATATGCTTTCTAAGTACTATTAGTCAGGGAATAATCTATTTCCTCTGTGTTCTTCTCTGTAATGCAGCTGGTTATAAGGACTATATATGCTGTTGGCTGTCTTTAAGGAAACAACACTGAACCATCAATATTTAAGATACCACGCTGATGTTCTGCCTTTTAGTCTGCCTTTTTAGTCTAATCTGATGTGTAGTCGTAGCAGGGTCTTGTACACATTTCTCATTGCACTGGAAGGGTGAAAATGTAATTGCACAGATGTGAGTGAATTAAGTTGAAATTACCCTTAGTGACTTGGCATAGGATTGTGGTGGAAAGCGTGTTCTAGTAAGATTTGTGTATGTGAAACAGCTTTTAGTTCTATGCAGCTGGAATCTACAAGAAAGGCAGGTTTGAGATGAACAAACCAAGGGATTTCTATACTCTTCTATTCTAGCAATTTTCTGGGATCCTGTATAGCACATAGGAGTATATCCAGAAGAAAAGGTAGTCTTGCTGAAGAGTTTTAGGGCCTCCTGATTGCTTCCATGGGGGAGGCCTGTAAACAGTATCTCAACAGCAGTGGGTCTACTGTTTTCATCCTGACTCAAGATGTTTTAGAATGGTGTGGTGGTGTGCCAGGATCTTTTTATCTGCTTTTACCAACTTTAAAACAAATCGAGGCTGCCAGGAGCAATAGTTGCTTTTTTTTTTTTTTTAACAAAGCTTTCAACAAAGAGGCTGACAGACAAAGCCACTCAGTCTTTGCCAAACTGTCGTTTAGTAGAAAGTGATCCCTGCCCTCTTTCAGGACCTTTGTCTGCCTTGTCTCCTAGCTCTCCTTTCCTGAACTTGGGTTCACACATTTAAAACTGGAGGTTCATCTGTTGATGTGAATTTGTGGATGTGAGAGTCGAATGTGACTTGTTTGGCGAGGTCAGTAGAGATGGATTGAATCTATCCTCTTATTGCCACTTCAGATAAGGCTTACAGTTACTTTCAGTCAAGACTACCTTTAGGTCAGGTGAATGGAATAAATCCCATTAATTGTTATGATGGGGTCTCTTTTTTTTCCTCCTTAATTTTATTTCTTCTTTATGAAAAACTTCTCCTGTTATTGGGTCTCCTGGCTCCAGCCAGCTTAAGTGAGCTCTAGCCTTGCTGATTCTGTCTTTCTTTGCCTTTCCTCCATGCAGTAGAGAGAGAATTCTTCCTATTTGGAAGGAGACCAGGCAGAGAGACCTGATCCCTTATCAATAGGGAGAAATACAGATCCTGACTCAGCTAGTCAGCATGGCCAGTAGTTTCTAGATCTGTCTGGAAAACAAGATCTGGAATCTGATCTGATGAACTTTAGTGTGTAGAGTTTGTAATGCGTTGCTGTGGAGGGATTTGCTAAGCAATGTCCTTTGGATGCTAAACTTACTCCTGTCCATTCTCTGGGATATGCTTCCCTGGTACATGTCATTCACCTGTCTTGGCATTATACTGCCTAGGGTTGGGAGAAAAAAAGTTGGCCATTAAGGATGTTTATTCCAAAGTTGTTGCCAGAAGGGGAAAATAAGTTGTTTGACCTACACTGGAACTCAGTAGACAGCAGATGTTTACTGAGATGAGTTGGTGGTTTCTACCATTAGTACTGTTTTTAGGGAAACATTAATAGTTCTGGAAGAATTTTGGTCTTGGGGGGCTGTCGTGTCTCTCTGCTTGTCTCTAGGTTGTAGGGAGTGTGAGACTACACAGTGGAAAGTGTTTCTGTGTTCTAGGGTATGTTCTTTAGAGTGGAACTAATTGAGTTTTCCTAAATGCTTCTAATAAGCCTTTTTGGATTCCATTTGTAGAGTTTAGGGTTGTGTTGGTCAGTCTCCAAGATGCTTCATTTTTCCCGAAGTGGCTTAGAATTCATATTTTGTCACATATTCTGTAAAACAGAGATGCCATCAGTAGGCTGTAGTAGGGCTTGTGAACATAGCAAATCATGTCATCAGCATGTTACCCTTGCATACACATCTAAGCTGCGTTTTAAGGGGTCTGTGTGGACAAAGTAGCAGAATTCCCTTTTTCTTGTGTGCTGCTGAGACAGGGTGGGGTTTTTTTTGTTATTGCTGGATTTTTCTGAGCTAGGTAGTGAGACTTTTTAGGTTTCATCTGAATCTGGTAGAATATGAGGTACAGAACTCTTTCTCCCCCTCTGTCTCACAATTTTTACCTCCATCAACACATAAATAATCTAAGAAGGCACGAAATATTATTTCCCTCAGACTTACCAGTATGCGGGCACTGGGGTGGTTTCTTAGTGGGGTACTGTAATGCTTGTTTGTCTAAGAAGTAAAAGCATTCTTACTGCAGAAGAGTAAAAGAATTCAGTCCTTTGGCAGTTTAATGGTAGAGTGGTCTCACTGCACCTAACAACAACTGTTCAGATGTGGCAGCAAGGAAATACTGATGGTGTATTACACTATGGTGGAAGTTTATAGGGATAGAAAGACCCAAACCAGGCATGGTGGAGTGGGGGTGGTGTGTGGGTGCAGACTTGGGGGAAGTGAAGAGTGTACGAGCCCAGTATTTAAAAGGATATAAGGTTTTCTAAGTCGTGGACAACCAATTAAAATAAGCAGTCACCTCTTTCTGTCACTTCTTCAGAAGTAAGGCTGCGAGGTGCAGCTCTTAATGAGGCATCCAGAGCCTTATCAGTTCAGGAGTGTCTGCAGCCTTTCTCTACTCAGTGTACTTTAAAAGTAAGTTTGAAGCTTCTGTTTTGCTGTGGTGCTGTTTGCTTACTACCAGCTGAGACCAGATGCCTGAGGAGTGTAAGGAGAGGGTAGCTCACCGATAACCCTCGCAGTGTACTCTTCAGCAGCCTTAGTCAGCCAGTGGCTTTATCTGATGCGGTCTTTTCAATGTAGAGGTTTGATTTTGGTTATCATCCAGGTGACTCTTAGTAGTGCTAATAGATGACACCTTCATGAGTGTATGAAATGACCGAAAAAATAACTGCACAGATTTTTAAAATTCTTCATAACATGTCTGTGACTGTGTGTGAGTGATCTAGGTAGGCTGGATGCTGTGGGGGTGGAACAGCTTGTCGTTCCCTTTTGGATGGCGTTTCCTAAGGGGCACAAGTGAGTAAGGTGAAAAACACGTCCGAGGGAACAGACAGGTTTGACTGGATGCTTGAGAGTGCAGATCTGTTGCCTGGATGTTGCTGTGACTGAATCTGTAGTTTTTGGCAGGAACCAGCATGGACTTGCTAGGAAGTTGGTAAGGAAATATGCTGGACAGGCCTACCAGCTTTTTAGAAAGAGCAAATAATGTTTGTATGGACGCAAACGACGCTGTAAAGCAATGTGTAATTGAGGGAGCAAATGACTGTTTAATGGGAGATGGTTATGTTTATTTTTATGCTGTTAAAATGTTTTTCTGAGAAGAATCTATAGGATCTCTAAATGAGTGCGCTAGAGGAAATTTCTTAAAGAAATTACTGTGATGGGATGTCCGGTATGTTGAGAGGTCATTGCTGCTTGATCATGAAAGGGGGTTTTATTCCTTGCTTTTTCTACTGTTTTTCTGGCTCCAAAAGAACATTCTTTAAAAAAAAAGAAGTGGTCTCCTGTGGCTTAGCTAGGAGAGGTATTTTGGAGAGCCTCCAGTGAAGGGTAGGGTATTGAGATACACAAACCGCCCCCCCACCCCTTCTCACCCCTTCTCACCCCTTCTCTCCCCTTCTCTCTCTTTTTCTCCAGTAGATGGGAGGTGGCGTTGAACTAACGAAAAGCTTAACAAGTGTCATGTTAAAAGGGCTGCTGTTACTAATCACTGCAGCTTCACCTCCTATGTACAGTGGCATACAAATTCTTTTTAGCTTGTTCTGTGATTCCCATCTTTAAAAACAGGCTTCAGAGTTAATTCTTGTGAACCGGAGTAGAAAAGACCTCACTTAAGGCTTCTTAATAAATGTTTAAAGAATCAAGAAGGGCACAGATGCTTCTCCCTGTGAGTATGTAATCTTTAAGCCTGCTTTTCAAGACCAGATTTCCATGAAACTAAGAAGATACATGCCCTGCGTCCGGTGAAGGCATTTTTGACAGGCAGTAGTGCAGACTTACTTTCACACAGATAGTGATTTAGGAGCCAGCAGTTTCTAAGTGGATTTGTTTGTTTGTTTGTTTGCAGAGATACAGAACAAAGCCGTACTGCTGTAGCTTATGCAAGTTCTCGTCCAAATTGCTTACTTCCTTCAGGAATCACTTGCACCGTTACCATGAGGATGAGATGGACCAAGAGCTGGTGGTTCCTTGCCCAAAGTGTGCATTTGCTTCTGATCCAAAAATAGTGGGAAAACATATCAAGATGTTTCATTCATCTAATAAACGAACACAGAACTATACAGTCAGCATTTTGGGTGGCATGAAACAATTCAGGAATGACATTATAAAATTTACGTGTCTAAAATGTCAGTTTACGGACACGCTGTATTACAACATGAAGAAACATGTGCTGATGAACCATTTTCAAAACCTGATAAGTATATATTTTGGCCAGAAACTTGTTGAAAGTAAAGAGAATTCTGTTGAGCACTACTGTAAAAAATGTGATGCTTCTGCAAACAGTCAAGATTCTCTAATGTACCATGTCTTGACAGATGAAACACACGGAGACCTAGAGAACAAGCTTCGGTCTGTGATTTCAGAACATATTAAGAAACCAGGACTCACGAAACAAATGCATATTGCTCCAAAGCCTCCCCCAGGCAGTCCTGTGGCTGCTCCGTCTGCGGGTCCTGTGGCTGCTC